TATGAAGCAGTATATAAGTCTAACTGCTATTGCTATTGCTATATATGGTCAAATCCTGGGCGTCATTGGTAGGGCACATCTCAGGATGTTATGTTATGAACTATCAGGATGTTATGGAGTTTTAGGAGTTTGTTTTCTCCTGTGTGGTTCAGCGTGGCTCTGCATGCCCTGGTATGAACTGGGCCATGGGTGACCCACACCTACACAAGGAACTATATTACAACAAGCCGAGCTGATTTTCCACCCCTGGCTCACCTCCCTCTTCTAGGACAGGGAAGATGGGGGGGGGGGCTGGGGAGGGAGTGTCTGGGGGGCTCTGCAACTATATTACAACAGGGCTGTTGTTTGAGGGTGCCCGAGATGGGAAGAGAGCAGGCCTCTGCAGCAGTTCTAGTTCAGCCAGGGCCCTAAGCCAAGGTCTATGGAATGACCTCTTAATCAATAAACCACAATTCCCTGGGTTCACGTTGGCCTGAGCCACAAGCCATAGTTTAGAAGGCACAATGGCTTGCTTTACATAACCTGAATCTAAACCACAACAGGGAGACACCCTTTGCGGCGCAGAAGGCTCCCCCTGCGAGCCTCTTGAGTGGCTGAGCTCCATGGGATGAGAATACCTTCTGCCCCACGGCTTCACTTCCTCCCTTAGCGTTGGAAAGTGGGCTTTGAAAGCTGATGGGCTTCCCAGGGCCTCCTGCTCTTCTGGTTGGGCATCATTGCCCCCTGGTGTCAGCCATGCAGAATTCAGAGCTCCGGGAAGGGGCTGGGCCAGGTAGGCAGCCAGACTCTCCTCAGCAAAACCCCTGAAGGGAAGGCCAGCAGGATGGAGTGGGCGAGGATGGCCCTTCAGCAACTGACGGCCAGATTCGTCCATGGGTGGATGAGAAAGGGAACGTTGGAGCTGTGCAGGGAGAAGGCGCTGTAAACGCTCGGTAGCAGGTGGGAGTGGGTGGGGCAGCCTTTACCAGCGGGCAAGGAAGAGAAGAGGAAGATGGCACAGGTTGGCAGAGAAGTGGGGACAGCCGATGGGCTGACCGGCCGTCCGGGGCCGGTTCGCATTAGCCGATGTGGGGGAAGTTGGCTCTGCACCTTTGTCCAGATGAGTTTTGAAGGGGAAGGGGCTGCTTCACAAAGGGTTTGGTCTGAAGAAAGAGGAAAGGAGATTCAGAAGGAGCAAAGGATTTTGCCTGGATGGTTTCTCTCTCCTAGTGCCCACGGTTGGCAGCTGGCTTGGGCAAAGCCTTCTCTTCCTCCTCCTGGCAGGAAATACTTCCATGGTTTTTTAGCCTTGGCACACGGCACATGCAGCCCACCCCCATCACTCCAGCGGTTGGCTACCCTCTCCCGACCCTTCTCCTCTCCCCCCTGCCCCTCCTCCAGGAAGGGACGTTCCCTCCTTGGGCGCCTGAAGAGCCTTCTCTCCCTCCTGACATTGCCTCTCCTCTGCCCAATTTGAGCCAATCCCAGCAAGCCTCAGGGGGGACCATGGCTGGTTCTCCCCCCCCCTTCAGTGTCGCTATGTAAATGCCTTCTAATCCATCAGTGGCCAGACGAATCCATCAAACTGCTCATTAAAGCACAAATGTTCTTATCGGCCTCACCCCTCCTGGCCTCACGAGGCTCCTGGCAGCAGCTCCGCAAATCTGCCCGTGCTAAACCATTGCGGAGCATCGGCCAAGGGCCTCGAGTGACAAAAGGTGCATCTTCGAGCCCAAAAGGAAGAACCCCACTGTGCAAAAGACTACGCAATAGAACACACAGCATGGGATCCTAGGGCTGGCAGGGGCCTCAGAGGTCTTCTAGTCCAATCCCCTGCTCGAGGTAGGGTGTCCTACACCGTCCAATGGCTGCCCAGTCTATTTCGAATTTTCAGTGGCTTAGCTGGCCTCCTTTCTTGGTTCATTGACATCCTGGGGACGGGGCGGCCTTAGAGCTCCAGCCTCTCTAGTTCAGTGTTTTTCAACCTTTTTTGTGCAAAGGCACACTTTTTTCATGAAAAAAATCACGAGGCACACCACCATTAGAAAATGTTAAAAAAATTTAACTCTGCCTATATTGACTATAGGCAGGTGTTTTCCCCACGGCACACCTTACACCAGTGTTTCTCAACCTTGTCAACTTGAAGATGCCTGGACTTCAACTCCCAGAATTCCCCAGCCAGCATTCGCTGGCTGGGGAAATCTTGGAGTTAAAGTTCAGTAATCCTCACG